GGACTCCATATTAATGGCCATGGGGAAGTGGGGTTGGGGGGGAGAAGGGACGGGACTCCATATTAATGGCCATGGGAAAGGGGTGGGGGGGAGAAGGGACGGGACTTCATATTAATGGCCATGGGGAAGGGGGGGGGGGAGGAGGGACGGGACTCCGTATTAATGTCCATGGTTTTGGAATGGGATGTCCAGTAGGCCTACGTAGGCGGTGATGGTTGGGGGTCCACAGACTTTTGCCTGTATTGTGTATATCACGAATGCTGATGTTGGGAAAGGTCGGGCGCAATGATTTTGATCTCCACTTGAAGTCATTCGGCTTCACACATAAGTGCTGAGCAAAGCGTTTACCTCACTGTACTTCACAATGCAATCGAAGTTAATGTTGAATATTGTGATCAATACGTTATACGAGCCTCATGTTCCGTACAATATTAGTGCGCAGCTAATGCATGCTCAACATTAACTCTTTGCATCCCTTTCAAGGGGCAGCATAGCTCATGTGAAGTCTCACTCAGTTATGTATTTAATTAAAGCTGAACTCCAGACAGGAAGCTAAATACAGAGCTGATCTCTGTATGTTCTGTATCTGTTACCTACCAAAGTCTAATCAGCCAGTCTTGTGATCCAGACAGAACACCCAGATCATTGACCTCCACTGCAGCGCAGCTTCCCCAAGAACACACCCTCAGCCTGGTGATTAGACAGTAAAGGAGCAGCAGGACACTGCGGTCATCCCTCTGCTACTCTCAGCATGTAACCTGTCGGCAAATGTTTACTGCAGCAGAGTTTGGCTCTTACTTTCTCATTACATAGACAGGTTCTCCTTCCATCTCCTTCCTTCTTTGTCCTGGCTGCTCTCACACAGTCCAACAAACTCAGTTTGATGTTAAAAGAGAATCAGGACTCTGATGTGAAGGAGGGGGGTCAGAGGACACTGATGTGGAGGTGGGAGAGAGGACTCTGATGTGAAGGAGGGGGGAAGGGGGACCGAGGACAATTATATGGAGAGATCCTCCTGAGTCCATGTGTTCTAGTCTAGCAGAGACTCCTGGTCATACAAGGAAGCCCAGGAGCCCGAGGTTTCTATATTCTGGGTCACGTACATGTATGTGTGATTGTGTCCAGTACACGGAGCTCCGGGGAAGTGATTTTTGGCTCATCGGTCATTAGACGTCTGTGTGGTTTTGTTTTGCAGCTTTATCACCTCTCTGGGAGTCAGTTACATGATGCTGTGTTCTGAGACGTACCCCAACGTCCTGGCCTTCTGCTTCCTGGACGAGCTGCAAAAAGAGTTCATTACAACCTACGAGATGGTTCACATCAACACCGCCATCCGCCCGTACTCCTTCATCGAATTCGGTGAGTACCTGTCAGATAAAACTCCTCAAATCCTAACAGGGAGACCATCGGCCACACCAATCACTGTAGTCAGGTCGCTGAGGAATACTTTCTGATTGGTCACCGGCAGTGTTCTCGCTTCCTCCGCTCTGCTGAATACACCTCGGACGGGAATGGAAGAAGAAATGTGACGCATTGTATACAGATCTCTTATTGTTTATGTTTCAGCCAGTAGGGGGAGCTCCTGGATCCCTTTATCATGTTTGCAGGGCTTGTCTTCTCACCTTTTTATTTGGACATGCCATCAGTGTGTCCCCATCTATATCTGTGTATCCGGCACTGACACACTGCCTGTTCCCTATACATCGCCAGCACTGTCTGCTTCTCTACAGACCTGGGGGTCATCTCTATCCCTCTGCTTCATTGTATCATCTCCACCCAGCAGATCAGTATGTATGGCATATATACTCCAATACTGCTAATATGCCATATATTCTATACATCAGGGGTTAGTGACTCCGGCCTTCCACCTGCTGTGAAACTACAAGTCCCATGAGGCATTGCAAGACTGACAGTTAAGGCATGACTCCCAGAGGCATGCTGGGATTTATATAGAAGGCCTCATTCACACAGCTACATGCTGGTCCGTACAGATCGGTGCTGCGTGCACGGCCGTATCGGGCAGCTCCCAGTAAGGATAGGCACACACACGCAGTGCTGATTATACACCGTATTTTGCGGTCCATAAGACGCGCCGGACCATAGGACGCAGGGAGGTTTGGTGCGCCTTATGGAGCACTCATGTCTCAGGCGTCAGGATTCGCTCCATAAGACGCAGGCACATTTTCCCCCATCCTTTTTGGGGGGAAAAAGTGCGTATACATACATACATACATACATACATACATACATACATACATTGCCAGGGGGCCCTGTCAGGTAGGCTGAACGGGGCCCCGTGGTTTCTAATGGCAGCCCCTGTGTCTGATTGTTGGCCCCGTTCTCTCCATCTCTGGTACTTGGCGGCCCCGGCGGTCACTCCTCTATGCTCAGACAGATCCCGGGCTCCATTCGGGGACATCTGTGCTGCGCGGATAGGATGTTTGTTGTGTGATTTAGCAGTTGTGCGATGACACCTCATAAAACGGATGACTCTGCCCCGATGGAACACCGCCGGCCTTTTTTATTGGTAACATACTGCGAAGTGAGTCCAATAAATACAGAGCCGGGTAACAAGCAGCCGCAAATTATAGAGGTGTCTGGCTGATAAGTAAGGCGTTTAGGAGAAGGTAAATTACTTTCCGCCGCAGGAAGATGGGCCAGGTGATAAACCGCCAGCGCGTCGGGACGCCGCTGACAGGGCGTAGCGCAGATAATATAGGACTGGGACAGCCGGATGAGGTGGGCGTAATTTAATGAACGGACATTCCTAATACGTTTCATCTCATCCGACAGATAATTTCATACAGAAGACGAAGCAGCGATTCAATAGCCCGCGGTCACTCGCCACCAAGATGAATCTCGCCGACATGCAGACAGAGATCCGCCTGAGGCCGCCCTACCAGGTATCATTGCACGAGCTCGGCCTGGAGAACGGCGTCCACCATCGAAAAGATACGGAGTATAAAGGGATTGGTAAGGATGTGCGGTCACCAGTACAGCCCCATATCCTTTTGCTTGTAGGGGTCTGCATGCTCCAGCCAAATACATAATTAGGATGTTCACTAATAATAGCTTCCAAACTAATTGCTAGTACTTTACATAACATTACAGTGTTGTCAGCCAGACAACGTGCCCCATAGACACTATGATATATTTTTGACCTTCTGGGACTCTATTGGTAAGATCTCCACACTGAGTTCCCGGGTCTGTACACCCGCTGTGCCCAATATGAGGGGCTCCCACCATCCCTGTGCTGAGCTCCCGGGTCTGTACACCCGCTGTGCCCAATATGAGGGGCTCCCACCATCCCTGTGCTGAGCTCCCGGGTCTGTACACCCGCTGTGCCCAATATGAGGGGCTCCCACCATCCCTGTGCTGAGCTCCCGGGTCTGTACACCCGCTGTGCCCAATATGAGGGGCTCCCACCATCCCTGTGCTGAGCTCCCGGGTCTGTACACCCGCTGTGCCCAATATGAGGGGCTCCCACCATCCCTGTGCTGAGCTCCCGGGTCTGTACACCCGCTGTGCCCAATATGAGGGGCTCCCACCATCCCTGTGCTGAGCTCCCGGGTCTGTACACCCGCTGTGCCCAATATGAGGGGCTCCCACCATCCCTGTGCTGAGCTCCCGGGTCTGTACACCCGCTGTGCCCAATATGAGGGGCTCCCACCATCCCTGTGCTGAGCTCCCGGGTCTGTACACCCGCTGTGCCCAATATGAGGGGCTCCCACCATCCCTGTGCTGAGCTCCCGGGTCTGTACACCCGCTGTGCCCAATATGAGGGGCTCCCACCATCCCTGTGCTGAGCTCCCGGGTCTGTACACCCGCTGTGCCCAATATGAGGGGCTCCCACCATCCCTGTGCTGAGCTCCCGGGTCTGTACACCCGCTGTGCCCAATATGAGGGGCTCCCACCATCCCTGTGCTGAGCTCCCGGGTCTGTACACCCGCTGTGCCCAATATGAGGGGCTCCCACCATCCCTGTGCTGAGCTCCCGGGTCTGTACACCCGCTGTGCCCAATATGAGGGGCTCCCACCATCCCTGTGCTGAGCTCCCGGGTCTGTACACCCGCTGTGCCCAATATGAGGGGCTCCCACCATCCCTGTGCTGAGCTCCCGGGTCTGTACACCCGCTGTGCCCAATATGAGGGGCTCCCACCATCCCTGTGCTGAGCTCCCGGGTCTGTACACCCGCTGTGCCCAATATGAGGGGCTCCCACCATCCCTGTGCTGAGCTCCCGGGTCTGTACACCCGCTGTGCCCAATATGAGGGGCTCCCACCATCCCTGTGCTGAGCTCCCGGGTCTGTACACCCGCTGTGCCCAATATGAGGGGCTCCCACCATCCCTGTGCTGAGCTCCCGGGTCTGTACACCCGCTGTGCCCAATATGAGGGGCTCCCACCATCCCTGTGCTGAGCTCCCGGGTCTGTACACCCGCTGTGCCCAATATGAGGGGCTCCCACCATCCCTGTGCTGAGCTCCCGGGTCTGTACACCCGCTGTGCCCAATATGAGGGGCTCCCACCATCCCTGTGCTGAGCTCCCGGGTCTGTACACCCGCTGTGCCCAATATGAGGGGCTCCCACCATCCCTGTGCTGAGCTCCCGGGTCTGTACACCCGCTGTGCCCAATATGAGGGGCTCCCACCATCCCTGTGCTGAGCTCCCGGGTCTGTACACCCGCTGTGCCCAATATGAGGGGCTCCCACCATCCCTGTGCTGAGCTCCCGGGTCTGTACACCCGCTGTGCCCAATATGAGGGGCTCCCACCATCCCTGTGCTGAGCTCCCGGGTCTGTACACCCGCTGTGCCCAATATGAGGGGCTCCCACCATCCCTGTGCTGAGCTCCCGGGTCTGTACACCCGCTGTGCCCAATATGAGGGGCTCCCACCATCCCTGTGCTGAGCTCCCGGGTCTGTACACCCGCTGTGCCCAATATGAGGGGCTCCCACCATCCCTGTGCTGAGCTCCCGGGTCTGTACACCCGCTGTGCCCAATATGAGGGGCTCCCACCATCCCTGTGCTGAGCTCCCGGGTCTGTACACCCGCTGTGCCCAATATGAGGGGCTCCCACCATCCCTGTGCTGAGCTCCCGGGTCTGTACACCCGCTGTGCCCATTATGAGGGGCTCTCACCATCACCTTTATGTTTTTTTTTTTATATATTGGAGAATGTGACAGGAGCAGCAGGAACACACTAGGGTAGTCATACTCCCAGGCGTGCAGGAACAGAGCTGGGAATCACGGTGAAGAGATCTCACTATTAGATTATGAATCGCAGAGGACGGATATAACCCACCAGAATACTTCTGTAATTAAAACTTTGCTTGTGGACAACACAGGCCGTCCATTCAAAGGATACCCAGCTAGTCCCTCCTTCACCCTATTGTTGGTACATATTGTGGACCCGATGGAATAAAATCTGGTGGTGTGTGGAGAAAGTAGACGTTCTGAGATGTCCCAGGTGTAGGACCCGACATTTGTTGGTGATAAAATGATGTGGGATGTGTTTCATGAAGGTGAAGTCCTCTTTCCTCACATTGCCGGTATTTGGAGGGGTTCAGAAGTGGCCAATAACCCGCAGAGAAGATCGGACACACCTCTGCTCGGGAACCGCGCGCTCACTTTGCAGCGTTGGGTTTTCACCGAGTGGTTTCCGTATTCTAAGCCTCGTCCTCTAGCCGTTGAAGTGAGCGATGTTCAGAGTGACGCGGAGGGTCGCGGGGGGCCCATTTCCCATCTCGTTTTATTGCTCCCGGCTGCGCAGGCCTCACCTCCGGCCTGTATCCACACCTCATTACCTCCATTGTCGCAGCATTTCCACTCCAGCGACTTATACAAAGGCTTTTATTCTGCCTGAATTCCCCACCCTCATGGAGCCGGCCGTACCATCGGCGCTGTCTGTGACTCTTTTCCTTTCCCCTCCATTATCATTTATTTCCAAGCCTGTGACCCCGACACAACCGCTCTGTGGCACCCGACAACCAACAGCGTGTTTATACCTCCAGAGGAACGTCAGTCATGTCACCCCCCATGGAGTAAGGACGCCATGCCGATGGTCACAGAGTCCAGAATGATATATTTTTTAATTAAATGATTCAAGAAATAAGAGAACCAGCGCCTTTCAGGGGAATCGCAAGGATCTCCCTTCTTGTGGGCTTGAAAAATTCAAAGAATTGAGATCTCTAAAGGACGGGAAAATTAAAGGAGAACTACGAGGGGGAACAGACGGGGGAGGGGGCGGGCACAGCTGGACAGCTAGATAGGCAGAGCCAGCTGTCAATCCCGCAGCTGGGTGGATCTTGACAACGATGTCGGGCTCCGTTCCGGCTGCGGCGTCTCAGTATATAGGGAGCTACAGCTCGCGGTATACTGAGCTTTGCGTCACTGTAGGATCCGTTCCGGCTCTGGCGGTCTCAGTATACCGCAGGCTGTAGCTCCCTATATACTGAGCTTTGGGTGACGGGAGGACGTTAGTTTGTGTCCTCCCGTGACCCTGAGGAGAACTATGGGGAAAAGCCCTGACCCCACAGTTCTCCTTTTAAAGGAATGAACGGTGGTAATGCTTGTGGAGTTCTTGGTCCAGTGTGGGTTCAGCATTACTCACATTATTTATTCCGTTAAATCTTCCATTCCAGATCTGATCTTAATTCGCAGAGTTTTTCAAGCCCTGAGGAAAGCTCGTCACTTCTGAAATGTGTGGCCTCTGATTTCATTTAAAACAAAACATTTGGGACTCTCTGACCATTGGTGTGGCGCCCTTACTGATTCTTACATATCGGACTCCTCTCAGGACCCTCCTTTTCCGGGGGTTGCTCTGGTACATGCGAGCAGCCTCACTGAAGTGCGTCGGCTTGATTAACCTCCTTGGGGGTATTCCCGAGTCTGGCTCGGGGGTTAAGTTTCACAGCGTAGCGACTCTTACCTTGTCCACGATCCCCGCTGTGTCCTCCGGCCGATGCAGGCATCCGTCTTCGGGTTCCGTCCCTGGCGAGCGTCCGCATCGCAGGGGGGCGGGACCGGCGGGAATTTAAAAAGTTAAAATAAAATAATCAGACGGCCAGGGAGGTTAATAAGTCATTCCCAACACCAGATATTAGGGGATCTAGTGCCTCTTATAGTTGTCACCTGACCTGTCTCTGTTCTCTCCCCCCAGCTCCTCACCTGCGCCTGGAGCCGTTCACCCTGACAGGGATCATCACCTGCCTGCTCAGCCTGCTGTGTGCCGGCCTCAACCTCATCCGCGGCTTCCATGCAATGGAGAGTCTGTTTCAGGTACAGCATATGCCTCATATATGGACGTCATATGTTTGACTATGATATGTTTTCACTCAGCCTCATAATCTGAGCCGACCTGTGACAATGAGACTGTCACAGGTCGGCTCAGTAGATCGGGAAGTGAGAGAACACATAACGTCGCTCACTTCTCGATCTATCCATGTAGAGAGCGCTGACTGTCACTCACTGCTCCCTGCAGGGATTCCCCCGCTCCGATCCTCCAGCGCTGACTGGCAAAACAGACGGGGGAGGGGGGCGGATACAGCTGGCTCTGCCTCTGGATAGGCAGAGCCAGCTGTCAATCCGGCAGCTGGGAGGATCCAGACAGTATTGTCGGGATTCGTCCCGGCTGCGGCGTCTCAGTATACCGCGAGCTGCAGCTCCCTATATACTGAGCCTAGGGTGACGGGAGGACGCTAGTTTGTGTTCTCCCGTTACCCTGAGGAGAACTACGGGGAAAAGCCCTGAGCCCATAGTTCTCCTTTAAGGCCACTGAAAGTTTCCGGGGAGATGCAAATATGCCGAGCGAAGGCTCGGAGGGGCAGCGGCAGTGGCAGTTCTGTAACAAAGGAAATCTCTTAGGCTTTCAGTTCCATTGAAGTCTTTGTTACAGGTAACCTTCCCCCCTCTCGTGTCATGTCCATCCTGCGTACATCCCTTTTGACAAGAAAGTATCTCACAGTAATGTCGGCTGTCCGATCGCCTTCCTAATGATATCACAAGCGTCACACATACTATGGGGGGTTGGGGGGGGATCAGATTTAGTGTTTTATTCCTTTAGGTTGAACTCGATGGACATGTGTCTTTTCTCTCCCGTTCATTGAAGGACACAGGCAACAGATCGTAGATCCTGAATGGTAGGGTAATATCGCCACCTGCAGGAGAAGGATTTGGCGGTGCTTTTCCGGCGGCCTTGCTCCCCCTGTCCGCGCGCCTTTGGCTCCGTGGGATTTGAATCTCATACTTTCAGTGTTGCAGGAATCCCCGTTTGAGCCTCTTCAGGAGATTCCGCTTATATCTTTGTCACAGAAAGTGGCCTTCCAGCCTTTCCCGTATGCCGTTACAGGCTGTGCTGCCTCTGCTCTGCTTGAGTCAGACAGTCACTCTATGGAGGGTTTAAGGGAGCAACAAACATTATGGAAGGAGTAAAGGAGCATTAAACACTGTGCAGAGTGTAGGGGAGCAACATGCACTGTGGAGGGTGTAGGGGAGCAACATGCACTGTGGAGGGTGTAGGGGAGCAACATGCACTGTGGAGGGTGTAGGGGAGCAACATGCACTGTGGAGGGTGTAGGGGAGCAACATGCTTTGTGGACGGTTTAGGGGAGCAACATACACTATGGGGGGTGTCGGGGAGCAACATGCTTTGTGGAGGGTTTAGGGGAGCAACATGCACTGTGGGGGGTGTAGGGGAGCAACATCCTTTGTGGAGGGTTTAGGGGAGCAACATGCACTGTGGAGGGTGTAGGGGAGCAACATGCACTGTGTAGGGGAACAAAGAAGGGAGTTGGACTTGTGTTTTCAACATGTTTTTGATTTGTAAGCTGCAGCCCACATCTGCTAGATCACTCTGCGCACATTGCACACAGATACTATGGGGGGCGGGGGGGGGGGTTCAGGTTTAGTCTGCACTGACGTCGCAGTGTTTTATTCCTTTAGGCTCTCCTGAGGTCTGTGCCCGGTCATAGACAATGATGGGGGTCTGGAGAGCATGCTCCACATGTACAATGCAGGCGGCCATTATTCTCTATGTCTGGGAAGCTTCATTTTATTCAGATCCGCGGTCTGTTGTTTGAATCCCAGTTACAGCCGTGAGTGCTGGTGCTGTGCTGGGAGGAATGGGATCGCCCGCTGGAAGGATGACTAGAGTACACCTGATAATGTAGATTTGAACCGCACGCCTTGCCGTGTTCCACCATTGTGACAGGAGAGTGCTTGGAGTCGCTGCGGCAGACGGCGCCGTGCAAAACCGCAAAATAAAGATGAGGCGTCACCAGAACTTCGATGACATCATTCACACGTTTATAGGTGGAGCGGCACAGATACAGCCGACGGCGACGTGATGTCACTGTGTTGCCTTGAGGAAGGGCATGTCCTTTAAGTGTTGGCTCTATGAACAGTTTATGTGAATAATTTTATCGGGGTGCTGCCGACTCCTCGTCTTTTATACTTTGTGCCCCTGTCGGGTATAGACTGAAGAACTACATGTACCAGATAGCACTGGCTGTAAGCAGGCCGCCATTGTAAGCGTCGGCCTTCAGCTTGTCGTCCCCTGCGTTCATACAATGACTCCGCGTCCTTCCATGAACATGCAGACACGGATCATACATTCATCTCTACGTCCTGGCTGAGCAGAGGTTAATGTTACACCAAGGTTTCTGCAAATCAACGCAGGCCGTTCTCACGCCGAGCGCAGCGCACACCTGCCAGTTGAACGCGCCCCTAACAAACCAATTAAACACGGTGACAAATGAAGGCCGCGCGTGCGCTAATGAGCAGAGCTACGCGGTCATTAGCCAGCAGGACGCGCTCGGTCCCACGCTGAAATCTGAAGATGACGGATTGTCTTGTGACGGCGTCAGAGCTCCCCCTCCTGGACAAACCCCGACAGCGTCCTCTCCGCAGTTCAATCTCCTGTCCTTGTATTTGTCTTTTCATGCTTTGTAGAATTGAAAAGCAACAGAACGTGCGAGTCGGGGAGTGGGGTCAGACGGGGGCTCTTAGGCCCGGCGCTACCGCAAGGCAAGCGGCCGCCTGAGGGCGCTGCAGGTGAGGGCGGAAAAAACAGGGCATTTTGATAAGTACTTGTACTTGTCAAAATGCCCCGATGCTTGCGCTATGTTTTTTTTTTTCACTTACCTTCGGCGCGGGATAGCAGCGGCGAGTCAGCGCTGGTCCGGTGGGAGGAGCTCCAGGTGCGGTCCTAATTTAGCTGGCCGGCGACTGCCAGAGGATCCCGACACGCGCGGCACCTCAGGCAGTCACCGGCCAGCTAAATTAGGACCGCACCTGGAGCTCCTCCCACCGGACCAGCGCTGACTCGCCGCTGCTCTCCCGCACCGAAGGTAAGTGAAGAAAAATAAACATGCTGATAGGGAGCAGGCCCAGCGCTACAGGGGGTCGGGGGGGGGTGCAAAAATGCAACTTTGCCTCTCTAGGCAAAAATCCTAGCACCGGTATAAAAAGATTGTGGAGCTTATGATAATAATAAAGAAGGACAAAGTGCCTGGTCCTTGTGAAGTGTGTTTTATAAGTTTAATAGACCGGTACTCACAAGATGAATGACTATAAATGCTCATCAGTTCATTCCCGAACTACACCAGACATAAGCGGCTGAGGTGCTGGAACCCTCACCTCTATGTCTCTCCACACACTGTCACCCCCACCACCAGACAATGCTGTGTAACAAGGCCGATGGCCAACGCGTTTTTGGAGCCACGCCCCCTTTATCAGAGACAGTTGGCCCGATCACTAATATTCATTTTATGTATTCCAGAATGATGATGACGCCAGCTGTGTTATCGCCTTCTTCCTGGGAACTGCCGCCTGCCTCTACCAGGTGAGTGTGTTTTATGAAGGCGGGCTCGTTTGTTTCTTCAAGGAGACGTAATCCCAATCACTCAAATCTCACAGAAGCTTTAACATGTTAATATCATTCCAGAAGGCATTTTCAGCCTTTCTTAAAGGAGAACTCTGGGGTCCGGGCTTTTCCTCATAGTTCTCCTTAGGGTAACGGGAGGACACAAACTAGCGTCCTCCCGTCACCCTAGGCTCAGTATATAGGGAGCTGCAGCTGAAGCGGATCCCAACAATTATGCCGTGATGCGCCCAGCTGCGTGACTGACAGCTGGCTCTGCCTATCTAGAGGCAGAGCCAGCTGTGCCCGCCCCCTCCCCCGTCCGTTCCCCCAGTCAGCGCTGGAGGATCGGAGCGGGGAGGGGGGAATCCAGCCCCTCCCCTGTCACAGCAGAGAGCCGTGACAGGATCGAGAGGTGAGCGAACGCCGGTATATGTAACGCTCGGCTCAGTAGATCGGGAAGTGAGCGAACACATACCGGCGTTCGCTCACCTCTCGATCCTGTCACGGCTCTCTGCTGTGACAGGGGAGGGGCTGGATTCCCCCCTCCCCGCTCCGATCCTCCAGTGCTGACTGGCGGAACGGACGGGGGAGGGGGCGGGTACAGCTGGCTCTGCCTCTAGATAGGCGGAGCCAGCTGTCAATCACGCAGCTGGGCGGATCCCTTCATCTAAGTCGGGATCCGCTCCAGGTGCGGCGTTTCAGTATACCGCGAGCTGTAGCTCCCTATATACTGAGCTTAGGGTGACGGGAGGACGGTAGTTTGTGTCCTCCCGTTACCCTAAGGAGAACTATGGGGAAAAACACTGACCCCACAGTTTTTCTTTAACACATTTTGAACAGGGATTTCTTTTTCCCTTTTTCATGCTTTTTGAATGTGACATTCGTGAACAAAAAAGGAAAAAAATTGTAAAAAAAATCAAGAAAATAATTCGGAGGAGAAATGGAAGAAGGAGTTAATTAGGATGAACAAAGGATTCATTGGGGTTCAATGGAAATATATTTTATTTAGATTTACTTGTCAGGTTGCTTTAACTGACATATGCAAATAGAAGCTCATCACTATGTCTCCTAAGTCTCACTACGATATTAAATATAAAAGCAACAATGTTACTTTGATCAGAGGGAGATAGAGAGATACAATGTTCATGAACACTGTGTCAGATGGTCTGGCAGCTTCTTCAGCTTCTGTATATACACAATACCTCCTGGCTGTCGTGAGGGTGAGGGGGTGAAGCAGCAGAGGGCCTGGGGAACAGAGCGTACTACACATGCCCTGTGTTTTCCTTTTTCATGGAAGATGTTTTGGGCGTGTGTAGCATGTTCAGTATCCAAATCTGGTTAAAGTTCAGCCTGTTTGACAACCATGACTCCTCCTCCTTCTATATATACATTAGTGATTCAGTGTTGTCACCCTAGGACAGGAAGTGTGTTCCAGGCCGGATCAATAAGTATAAATAAATTAACATTTTAATTAATGACTGGAATCTTCAATATGTTAGATGTTGTTTTGGGGTTTAGAGTCACTATAAAGGAGAACTATGAGGGGGGGGGTGCTTTTCACTCACCTCATAGTTCTAGCCGACCTGTGACAATGAGACTGTCACAGGTCGGCTCAGTAGATCGGGAGGTGAGCGAACACATACCGGCGCTCGCTCACCTCTCGATCCTGTCACGGCTCTCTGCCATGACAGGGCAGGGGCTGGATTCCCCCCTCCCCGCTCCGATCCTCCAGCGCTGACTGGCGGAACGGACGGGGGAGGGGGCGGGTACAGCTGGCTCTGCCTCTAGATAGGCAGAGCCAGCTGTCAGTCACGCAGCTGGGCGGATCCAGGCATAATTGTCGGGATCCGCTTCAGCTGCGGCGGTCTCAGTATACCGCGAGCAGCAGCTCCCTATATACTGAGCCTAGGGTGACGGGAGGACGCTAGTTTGTGTGCTCCCGTTACCCTAAGGAGAACTATGGGGAAAAGCCCCGACCCCCCATAGTTCTCCTTTTAATCTAGGATCCCTGTGATCGGAAATGAGGGATATAATTGTATCGTATCACAAATGTTACACCTCCCACCCTGTTGTTGGACAATCACCTTCTGCCTTTGCACCTTTGATGATGATGATGATGATGATGATGGGATCACGGTGGCAGAGTTACCTGTCTGGATATAAATATTGTGATACGTTTTGATACTTGTTCTGTAATGTCGAAGACGATTCTCAGAAAATTCTGCAGATCTAACAAGTCCAGCTGAATGTGACCAAGTACTATTCACTATACGTGTGCAAACCGAGAAGTCCTCGCTCCCGGGATGTGCTGGAGTGTGTGGATGCCGGGATAAGGGAGCTCCTCTTATCCCAAGAGTGAGGAACGGCCTCTGTGCTTTGTTAAAACTTTATTGTTCCCCACACGTACACAGATGCCCCTAGAGTGGGGGAGGTGCCAGGTGGAGCTCCTGTGTACTTGTCCGGAACAATAAAGTTTTAGGAAAGTTGTGTGCAGCCGGTTCTTTACTATTCTACTATCATGAGATGGATACATGAGAGGCGTCCCAGGGCCCAATGTATATGAATGTGTGTGTGGATGAGCCCTGCGTGTATACAGACGTCCTGACTCCTCTCTGTATTGTTTTTCTTGCAGTGTTACCTATTCGTATACATCACAAGTTGGCGCAACATGAAATCCTTTTTGGCGTTCGGACTGATCTGCCTTTGTAACATGTATCTGCACGAACTGCGCAATCTCTGGCAGCTTTTCTTCCACGTCACCGTCGCGGCTTTCGCCACCCTCCAGATCCGACTACGACAGCCGCAGAGCAAGTCCCCCGACTACAACGTCTGACGCCCCCTCCCCCCACCACACACTGACGCCCGGCTTCCTTCCATTTTGCCTGTTTTTTTCCTCCTAGTGCACCTTTCCCGGTGACCGTGGTGTCCCGGCACAGCGGAGGAGCGATTTATTTCTGCGGCAGGGACGGAGTGTATTATATTTAGTCGGCGCCCCTGATTTTATTGCCTTTGTAAGGCAGAATGATGGCATTTGTAACTAATAAAGCCATTCTGTACAGATACGTTCTTGTGACACTCCAGGGAAATGTTATCCTCATTTATATGGCACCGACGTATACCGCGGCAGGCTGAAGGTTACATTTAGGCCGTTCACATCTCAGACAAGCTTACACATCAATGTCATTGCTTCAGTCTTAGGCCCCGTTCACATTGAGCGATTTATCGCGCGGTAATTCCCGCGATATTGCGGCAATTTACCGCGCGATATCGCTCTCCAATGCTTCTCAATGGGGCAAAGGGTCCTGCTGTCGCGGGTCGCGCGTCGCTACAGCAGGACCCTTTTTGCAGCGGATTTAGCCGCGATTCAAGGCAAGCATTTGCGCGATATCGCGCAAAATGCAAATCGCGTGACAAACGCGCGACTTGCGAACCGCTCAATGTGAACCGGGCTTTACAGTCATGGCTAAAAATATTGGCACCCCGGCATCTCTGTCAGATAACGCACCACTGTCCCAAAAATCAGCAGTTTATTGTGGCAGCAGATACATTCATGGCCAAAAATATTGCGACACCCCCCCCACACCCCCCCCCTCCACCGA